TATTCATAATAAGCCTCTGGACAGTGAAAACATCCTCGTAAGAAGCTGCTGGTCAGGAGGAAGAGATGTACTTTCACTGTTCAACTACATTTTGAGTTGAAATGACTTCCTTATACAACCAGAAAAGACAACTTTGACCTTTCATCTTTCCACCAAATCTCAACATCTAGCAAAGTTCTCCTCAGCTGGGTTGGATGTAGAGACAGTCGATGGTGACCTTTGGTTAATAAGACGTTATCAGATGGATCGTGTCGGTGTTAGAGGCGATCGCCGAGCAGAACAGCCTTCGCTCATCTTCGCAGGGCCACTTGAATCTAAAATGAACCAGAAACAATCAGTAACTGTTCTTATCGCACTTGAGCACAACCCACTCGACAGTCACAGTATTTGCAAAGTAGCAGGAGGCAGAGTGATTTAAAGGCCCCCCAGTGGGAGCACTCATTAAAAGAGCTGTTTGTTTTCCAAATTAATGGAGACTTTCAGACGGCTGTTCTTCCTCTGCACTTACATCACCAGCCTGCCTTTAACGACCGGCTGAGGTTTAATCCCTGGCATTTATTTATTTAGGCTAGCTGCCAGTTTGAAAACATATTTTAATGAGGCGCTGGTCGGCTGAAACAATAACCTGAGCTGAGATGTTTTAATTGGCTTTGAGAGGAGCTCTCAGAGGCTGGAGTGGGATCATTCAAAGCAAACACTGCATGTTCATGTGTTGCTTAAAGGTGGGAACAAAGGCGCACGATTAGCCTCGGCGCTGCTCCACCGCAGCGCATCGAGACGCTCTGAGAGTCGGAGGCTTCGCTAGTGTGTTTCCACCAGAAGGGCTCTCTGCACCACTCTGCATGAAGAAACGTTCATCTGCAGAGCTCACACTTTACTTCAAATCACTCAGAGACAAACTTCTTCCTTGTTTTTTTCATTTTAAGTCTTCATCCTGCTAACTAAAAGCGCACTGAGGTCAGGTCCTGGGTAGATTTGGTGACACAGAGTGTCGATTGGCCATCAGGAGCATCTGAGAAAATGAAGCTTCAGTTCATTTGATCTACGAGCAAGAAGAAAAGACTAAGCAGGGTGTGATTAGGAGTGCGTGTAACCGGCAGGTCACCACCGTACGAGCAGGCGGCGTCCATAAGCTTCTCAGTCAGATCGACACCACAACCAAACACCACGTGAACTCGAGTGCTCTGCAGAGAACCAGCATCCCCTCTCACTGTTTGCAGTTAAAGCCAGCTGCTGGTTTGCTAACTGAAAATTCACTTTGTGTCATGCATCCAGTCCCTGGATCCAGATTACGGTCTGATTGTGCTCCGAACGTGTCGTAGCTGTAAAGAAGCTTCTCAAATGTCTTTTATCTGAGCTCATAAAATCTCTCAGAATTTAACAAACAGTCACGTGACCTGTTTATCAGTGGAATAAAATCATTTTTAGTCCATGCCAGTAGTAATCCCAACAGTGTGACAGTACAACAAACTCGATCAAACCTGCGGGGGTGGGGCTCGGGTGGAGTAGTTGCATGCCTTCTGTATTATGCTGCTAACACTGCACCATGACTGAATATGTATGTGGTATTAATCTGTAATGTGTCGTGTGCATTGTTGAGTGTCGCCGGTGTCACTGTGATGTGGGACTAATCTCACTGTTTCTGGACTGAAGCCCGATGCTGGAGCCAGGCTGCGTTCAGGAACGTTAACTGGTTTGCTGTAAAGCGATTGGCCGCTTTAAGACCCTCATCTAAAACATCATCAGCCGGCCGCGCTGCAGCGGTCGCGCGCGGACGTGTCGAGAATCTCGCCTCAGATTCAAAGCCTCGCTTTCACTATGCGAATCACGCCTCCTTCCTCCCGCACGCCCCTCGTCCTTTACCTTCCCCTGACCAGTGTACTAAAGCAGACCCGCGGTTCAACACTCGGTGTCTATTAATACCTAACAGGTATGCACGTCTGCAGTCAGCAGGAGATGCATCGTCAGCCAGTGTGGCGATTAAATTATTCTGATAGGAAACCAATTCTCTGATCCTCCTGTGACGAGCGTAGCAGCTCCGAGGGCGGCGAGGGCAGAGAAAGCACAAACATAGCTTCAGTTTATAAATCTAAAATTGATCTCAGATGTGATTCATGACAATCTCGACATAGTCAAGCCTCCAACAGCTCTGCAGCAGACGACAGTCAGCTTGGCTCCAGGATCGGTTTCCTCCATACATCAAGCCTTCACTGCTCACTGGCCAAGTTTGATTTCAAGTTGCACATCCAGATTGGTTTCTGTGGCCTCAGTTCGCACTGGGCTCTTCAAACCAGACTACAAAATGAAACCGGGCCGGTCTATCAGCTGGATCGCTGATAGAAGCTCGTCAGTTCAAAACAAACATATCAGATTGAGAATGCATGGAGCACACGCTGACCTGAATCAGTCTGAGAAATCGGCCCATCGCCAATCTCAGCCTCTGTGTCCCTCCCTCCCTCTCTCCCTCCCCCTGTCTCTCCACTGTCCTCCTCCATCCCCACCCCACCGCCCCACTCCTCAACTTATAGGACAAGGAGGTGAATCTGGAACAGGTGCATCGTCGTATGAACAGTCTTTTGGACGAGGACTTGGTCCACAAGCAGATCCCCGGCCCCTCTATCGAGATCTCTGCGCTGGACATCGGCAGCATGCAGCCCAGCCAGGCCTCTCTGGTCCCGGGCCCGGAGTCCAGGCGGGACTACCCGCCCTCGGGCCTCGCTGTGACCACCTTCCTCCCCGGGGAGGGGGCACCACCTCCTCCTCTTCCCCATCCTCACCATGGGGGGACCCTAGGCAGGACGCTACCCCCATCCCAGGGCCCTGGCAGCAGCACGTTGCCCCCGCACCACCCGCTCAGCAGCACCAGCCTCAGCGGCACCATGCAGTGCAAACACAGGGCACCCAACGGGGGGCTCTTCCGGCAGAGCCCTGGCAAGACACCCATGCCAATGTCCTACCAGGCAGTCTCCGCAGGACCCATACCCGAAGCCATTGAGGCCACCCACAGTACATCGATATAAGATCGGAGGGGTAAACGGGGGCGGTGGGTGGGAGGGAGGCTGCTCTCTGGACCTGGGTCCAGGTTCAGATGCGAGGCGGGTTGATGGGGAAAATTATTATAGAGGAAAAAAACATATATGTACAAAGTAAAAAGATTTTGTATCTCACTATCTGTTCAGAAACACACACACGAAAAATCTAACAAAAAACAACAAAAAGCGGCGGCGGGCTGGAGGGTGTAATTTTTCTCGTGTACATATCTGTAAATACCAAGAGAACGAAGTGAGGTTAAAGTGTATTTTGAATATTCTCAATTTTTGAAGTTGAGTTATAAAAACAAACAAAATGAGATAAAAAAAATATATAAACATTGATGAAAAAGTTATGACTGTTTGAATGGCTTTGTAAATTTTGTTCAAACAATGACGCGAAATTCATTGTGATTGTTTTCTAAGTGCCGAAATTAAACGATGTCTCTCCACAACTCATTGATGTAAACGACTACCCATGATGCACCGCTGTAGGGACATTTTTAGTGGTGGACACCTGCTGTTATGCACCTCTGTACCAACCCTATATATATCTTCAGCATCGGACAAAAAAAAAATCACTCTTTGTTTTTTCCCCATTTGTATTAAATATATAATATACATAGTTTTTTCCAAGCGAAAGTCTACATTCGTTTCTTACGTTGACTGTAAATGATGTTCGTTCAAACACTGAGGGGAAACAAGCGGGTTTTTATTGGGTTCATATTTTACACACAGCTCAATGGTTTGTTTTTATAGCGAGTTTTTATTTGGCGTCAGTACTGTCCAGGTGAGAGTCTGTTTGTGACGAGCAAATGAGCAAAGAAGAGTACGTACGGCTGCGAGCGCACCGACCGCTGTCTTTAGGTCAAACGATGATGCAGTCGTGCAAACCTGGCCTCTTTGTGGAACATGACAGGGTGTAGAACCGCGGTTCCCTACCCTCCCCTCTTAATTTTAAAGTCAAATATCATATTTTTGAACTGTAAATGCAGTCGCGCGTTCGACAGTTTCTGTAGTCCCGTTTAACCACTTACTACAAAAACCTTTTCTGGGTCACATGTTTAGTGTTGCATGAACCACAGACCTTTAGACATCAAACAAAAACCAACCCGACTTCGAGATGAGGAAACACAAAAACACTTGTTCTGGGTTTCAGAGAGATGCTTGACCTTCTAAATGATGAATAGTTTTAGAGTTCATCTTCTTCATTGCACCGCCAGCAAACCAGTGAAAATCAGTTACAGTCCTTTTCTATGAAACTCTGTCCAGATGCTTTTAGACTAATGAAAAGTTGGCACCAATTTAAAACAAGTACTGGTATGCTTCCCAACTCTGAGACAGACCCTCTTGTTAGCCAAATATATACAAAAAAACAGAAAGAAACAGTATCAGCCAGCCTGGTATTCATTTTATTTGATATTTTCAAGCTTCTGTTTGCATTTGAAGGAAGTGTCAGATTCAAATTGGTGCCAGAACGATTGATGGTTACTAATTTATTCAAACAAACTTCGACTGTTGCCAGAGTGGACAACAGTCGAAGTCTGAAAGTCTGAAATTACAGACCTGAAACACAAGAAAAGTTGTGACAAACCAAACGTATTTCCATCCTTACTCTTACTAACCGACACTTTTGTTTTCAGGCAGTCGTAAAGCTTCGTTTGGGGCCAAATATCGAAGCTCGGCCGAGTTCCAACAGCGCTCGGTGTGAACGCAGCCTTAACCTTAAGAAAAAATATAAAGATACTAAATATATATGTCTTTAATTTTTATACTCGAGAATTTTACGTCACGCTCTCGTACGCAAGTTTCTTCTTGCAAAGCAGTGCAGTTATTCTAACGAGGAGTGAGAGAGCGACTCAGAGAGGCATCGTATTTCCACAAGTCATTCCTAATGAGATCCATTATCACCTGCAGGGATGACAGAGGGCGTCATTACCCAAAGTGCAGACAGAGGCTCATGATGATGGCCGTTCTGCAGGTGCCATACCTCAACTGCTAAAACAGAGGGAAGTTAAATATATTTGCTAAACACTGGATAGTTTTTTCTCTATAGGATACTGTAAGAGGAACATTTATGGTAAAAGTATTTAACAACAGAAATATATAAAACCGACCATATCACCCCCACCTTTTTGCTTTTACAAGCGCGGTTAACATGCATCTATGGGCCTAATGACTGTCGACTTCATTTACATTAGCCTGACGCTGGCTGTTCGGATCCATGTTGATCACACGCAGTTTTCAGGACATTAGCAGCAAAACGCAGACCCGCTCATCTCATTTATAGGACGTGTACGTGGGCAGAGGAAACTGAGGAACCTTAACTTGTCAGAATGAAGAGCTTTAGTTCCAAAACTCTGTAGATCGGACATCAAATCTTGTGTTGTTGGTAGGTTTGTGGTTGTTGGACAGACGGCAGATTAACTCGATCATTAAACTACAGACACGAGCGTTCTGTGGAGGTTTTACTGTCCGGTTCTGTCGCACAGCACTTCTTCCACACTGGGGAAACCCAGACTCACAGACTGAAAGATTTTTAACTTCTAACAGCGAGTTGTTTTTGGGCAGTCCCTTAGAAAAGGTGACATGTGATTAAACGCCTGTTTTTATAAACCTTGGTCCTGATAATCTTGTAGACCAGGGTTGGGGAACTCCAGGCCTCGAGGGCCGGTGTCCTGCAGGTTTTAGATCTCACCCTGGGTCAACACACCTGAATCACATGATTAGTTCATTACCAGGCCTCTGGAGAACTTCATGACATGTTGAGAACATCATTTAGCCATTTAAATCATCTGTGTTGGATCAAGGACACATCTAAACCCTGCAGGACACCGACCCTCGAGGTCTGGAGTGAAGTAGATGATGCTTTTATCACCGTGTGCACAGCAAGCACACTCCCTAATGTCTCCTTAAGGGTGCTCCCCAACGGCAGCAGTCTCCATCATATTAAGCTCAACTCTCAAGTTTCTCCAAATGAAAAAAATCCTTCAGAGCTTTTTGCTTTTCAAGCAAACAATTTGACACCAGAATAATAAAAACTTTCTTTATTAATTCAAATAGGTTTGCTACTAAAGCCAAATCCAACAATTACAACCCGAGGGAAAAATGTGACCTTGGAAACTCTTGGAAACATCCCCAACAAAGCCTATTTGTCCAGTATTTTTCAGTGTTCGCACCGAGGTGTTGACCCAGATCAAAATTTTGAAAATCGGTCCAGAACAAATCTGATCTACGTCTTCGATACCACCGGACACCCCGGTATGGGTCCACTGTCCAAAAGCCAAAGCTGTTGAACAGGTGGCTTTAATGTTGTGGCTGATTGAATCCAGTGGTCTGTTAAAGACTCGACCACAAAACACAGAAATTTAGGAATAAATTCTTCCAACACCAACGACAAGCCGATGTACTTCTTTGTTTCGCACCATGCAGAAGCATGTTATGGCTCTTATCAATGACAGGTTAAAGGTAACATTTACAGTTTGTCCCTGACTACGCATACACGCAGTACCACTCTCACGTAACACCTTAGAGTGTTAAACACTTGGTTATGTTGCTGTTCATTCATGCTCCTAATTCTTGATCACTTGAGAAATGTAACTGTAAAAGCACTGTGCCGAATCACTCAGATCATAGGACCAAGGTTTGTTTTTCATAGCTGTATTAAATCTGAGTCATTGAACTGGGAAGGTTTAACGTGTGACTGTGAAGATTTACGTTGTTGCCAAGCAGAAATGTTCATTATTCAGTTTCACCATGATTCTGTTAGAGCTCTGCTGAAACGCTAATGTTCTGTGTCTGTGTGAAAACCAATTCTCCGGTGACACCAAGTAAAACCTGCCATGTGTTTCATCCTGTGCGTAAACGGACACGCAGAAACGTGACGGTCCTCGACTCTGACGCAGCTCCCGTCTGAACACACTCTATATGGATGTTTTCTTACTGTGTCAGTAGTTGCTTCTCTGTCGTGAACCAACTTGCTTTTCACACTGTGCTCCACCACGTGACGGACGGACAGAGCGAGGTTACGATTGGTCAGCAACGAGGAAGTGACCGGGAGGGCGGGGCGATAAGGGCCTACGTGTGTCCTGTTTATGTTCGAACTCCAACACCCCGACAGAGGATGAAAACATGAACTGTCAGAGCATACAGACTGTCACAGTACATCTAAGGGAGACCCTTATTTTATTTATGAATATGCTGCTTGGAGTTTCTTAAACTTTAATAAAGAAATATGGTTTACAAATCTGTTTCTGATATGTGTCACTGACAACACGTCTCTTCTACTTAATGCAAACTGTTACTGTGATATTGTCAAGAAGCAGCAACCTCCGAAGGTGAACTGTGCCAAAAGCGGCACTTCCTCTAATATCCAATAGAATCAGTCCCCGTAGACTCGTATATTTAAATGTCTGTTTGCTGAGTGCGGTTCCAGTGATTTATTGGCATGGCCCTGATCACTGCCACTGATTAACAGGTATCTGTGTCTGCTCGTTGTACCCATACTTTGCTAGTGTTAGGCCACAGTCAAGCCTATAGATCGGTCAAGGACTCCATGGTAACCACCAGTTGCTGGGTAAAAATGTGTGACCATTTGGCGAGTGTTTTCAGGAGGTTGTTTGCTGTTGTTAAATGTGCTGCACTGCTTTGGTTGCTCACAGATTGCTGCTGTCCTCAGTAGTCTGCAAATGGTCTGCAAACATGTGGCAACTACTTACCAACCAACTGTGAAAATGTGAAGAGTGCAACAGGAAGCAGAGACTGTTTGCCTTCAAAGTAAAAGCAGTAAGGCATGACTTTTACTTTGAAGACAAATGGTCTCAGTTTCTGGTGTGCTTTGACTTTTTCACTGCTGCTCGGTGGTTGGAGAGTGTTAGCAGACCGGTTGGTATCTGCTTGTGTATCTATCCCACGTATCGGTTCCACTTGCGCCACAATCGTGTGATTTGAGTTTGTGTGCTGGAGGAGGAAAAAGCGGCGCCGTCTACAGTGGATATGGACATTACTGTTATATCTATCACATGAAAAGGTCGAGAGCTCGATGGACAGAAACAGCTGCATTATGCTGCTAGCACAACTTCAGCGGTTTGCAAGCATCTGCACAGACAGCATGCTAATGCTAAGCTAGCCACGAACCCAGAGTGGAAGCTGAGTGAGTGCCGACGCCAGCAGCCAGACTCTGAACTTCAACAGGTAACAAACCGATGAGCAGTCAGGCTGGAGCCGCCGTTTCTACCTGTTCATGTTTCTAAAGCAGAATCACCATGGCAACGGCTTCAGAGTGTCTTTGTGCTGTGTTTTCATCTTTGTGTGTGTCCTCATTATGATAGAGGTTTGTGTTGTGTGTGTGACGTAGCCTGTAGGTTTATACTGGTAACGATGAGACTGTTTCAGGTCATTTTACAGAGAAATGCAAATATATTCTCCTTGGAGTAATTAAGTACTGAACTGCATTACTTTTAAGAATGTGTGTAAGCAGCCAAAACAGTCCTGAAACTAATGGTATCTTTTATATCCTTTACTCTGACACTTACACCAGCAAACTTAAACTCTGAACTATCTCATTTTCTTTCAAAGCAATCAGCAGGTAACACTTTTCCTTGTTAATTTAAATTCCCCCAAATTGCATAAAAGTGGCCGTCAGTATCCAAGGTGACATCTTCAAATGTCCAACCAGGACCCTAAAGTCCAAATCAGCTGTTTCCCGTCATGTAGCAAATCATCATGTTTGACAAGTGGAACCAAAGGTCTGACATGTTTATGTCATAATTCAATGTCAGCCATGCATTTTGTGTTCTGTGAGTGCCTCGGTGTGTCCACGCTGCTAAGATGAAGTAAAACTGAACACCAGCTTTTCTGTACGTACACTCGGCTCAAGGTTGGAGTTTTTGCTCAGTTCTCCACTGATTTTCATGAAATTGAGTTTGGTGATTGGTGCTGGAAATAAATCTGTCCTGTGCCTGTGGCTGTGGTGGAGGAGGTCGAAGAGCACCGGGAGACAACTCTCAA